TGCAAAAGAATTAACTATAAAATATAAAAAAAACAACAAAATATTTTCATAAATAAAACTTACATTTTTATAAAAAAAAAACATATAGTTGAGTTTTCTTCAGTTTTATTTTGGATTATAGTAAAATTTCAGAAACAAGGTTACTAATATAAAACATGAAGTTTTTATAAAAACAAATGGAGTTCTGTAGGGTGTAACACTCACTCTTCCTCTTCTACTGAACGAACAATAATTTTTTATTTTGGCTGAAGTTTCCTTTTTTGCTATTTTACAATATAAATGGCTATCTCGTTTTGATAACAGAGATAATAAGTTTCTTTCGATACCTTATACTGTATATATATATATATTACTATGCAGCTCTTACGCGTACCATATTATTTCGGATGTGTTCGAAAAATTTGTTAGTCAATCTACAAGTATGATGTGATGATAATCATTGCTATAAAACTTTTATACTATATATTATATTGTAAACATAGTCAAATTCCTCCCAACTTTGCTTAAAATTAAAGTAAATCGAAAGTTTGGGAAGAAACAACAACCAAATTCCAAGTACTGCCATTGGGTCAAACCACGTCAAATAGTTAATGTAAATTTCGATAAATCACCGATTTTGAAAAATAACAGTTCATAAAGAGGGTACTCCAGACCAAACCGCGTGATAAAAAAATTACCTCAAAACTCTTATTTTTTTGTTAAAGATATTGAAGGTTGAAACTTAGAGCACGATAAAATTGTAAAATTATTTCTCATAAACTACCAGAGATAAATCAATGAATTTTGCCGAAATCAAAGCAAAATGTTCGTGCTATATTATAGATATTTTCTCATAGTCAATTTGTTTAAATAATAATATTTTAAATAAATTTTTGTTGAACAATTGAAATTTTTTAAGTGTTCTTCACGCCCAAAAACACCGAAAGACACTACGCGGAAAATATGCATCTTTATTTATCTGCAAAAAAATTTTTGTATTTTTACGCCATTCCAAAGATTAATCAATTTTTTGTTTATTATTTTAAATTATCAGGTACATATAGACGAATGTGTGTTCACACATTACAGAATTAGAATAATGTATATTTTCTTTGTATTTTTTATTTATATACACATATTCAACATATCCACTCTTCTAAATGGTGGAGGTGTGCGTAGTATGGGACGAGATGAGCTATACACTGATGGACCGCAAACTATTATAGCACTTCGCGACCTCAAATAGTCACGTATCCACTACGAGTGTTTCTAGTATAAAGTGCTATACTGCATGACACCCATTTAGTGAATGCTACACCACCACGCAAATGGAGACACCTATTCACATACTAGCCTGAGAAAACTATTTTAATTATTTTTGAAATTTTTGACTGCCATAAAGAAATTGTAGAGTTATAAGGACTACTGATCTTTTGAGTCTAATTTGCAACACCCATATTCTTCATTCACTCAACCGCCTTAGGTGGCTTCTCATCAATTTGCATCTCAATGATAAGATTGTATTGACTAATAAATCCGATGCTGATAAGCTTTACGAGCACCTTCCTTTGTTAGATATACTGAAAAGAAATATTGCAGAAAACTATAACATATCAGGAAAAGGCCGTAATTATCTACAATAATATACTAAATTCCAAAGAAATCAGAAATGGTTAGAAAATGTGGAGGAAGTGTGCTGAGTCTGAATATTGTTTAGATTTTGAAATATACAATACCCGGCAAAAAGATTTTTCGCCAATTTTGCGCAAATTTAAAATCTAAAAATCTTTGCGTATTCTTTGATAATTATTTCAACAGCTATTCCTTATATGTTGGTCTGCGAAAAGATAAGGTATGTGGAAATGTCAATACTAACCGCAAACCGCATTTATCATAACTAAAATAATACAGAAGTTTGAGGACAACAAGACCACATACTCAGTGATACAAACAACGCAGTTCTAAAGTAGAAAGACCAAAGATCCGTATTTACTCTTACTAAGTATTTACCTCTGACGAAGTCGTGCGTGGAATGCAGCACTTAAAACAGTCCACCAGGTACTGTATGGCAATGCAGCACTTGTAAAGTCCCTGTTTATATGCTTATTATATTTTTAAAAAATAAAATAATAATAATGTAATAAAAATTAAATATATATTCTTGCACCACCTGATATCTTTTTGTTTAGATTACTTCCCTTTTAAGAGGCTTAAAAACGATTTTAATTTTACAAAATTTGCATTATAATGATTTTTTTGAATGCTTGAAAAATTTAATTCAAACAAATTTAGAAAATAATTTGAAAATTACAAAATTCGAATACACTGTTTTTCAAAGCAACTAAAAAAAAGGTTAATATAAAACATCTCTACAGCACATATTGTACCCTCGTCGAACA